GAAATGCTCAATACTTTTAGATAGTTCGCAAAGATACCAAGGAAGATCAGTTGAAAGACACGGGAAATAAATTTTCCGTAAAGTATCGCCAGTAATAGTTAATATGGTTGGTTTAGTCAGCTCCATTACATTATAATAACTATAAAATAATATATATAAAAAAAAAAAAAAAAAAAAAACATTTTACCCCGATTTTATAAATTTTGATATAAAGTACTTAAAAGAGCAAAAGTCTTGAATTGACTTGACTGTTTTGTAGGTTCCACACGCAGATGGAATTTGTTTTTTGAAAAATCGATAACTATTCCCGATTTCAAGCTATCGATGAGCAATCATATATCGTTCATCTTGAGAGCGAGAGCCTTAAAATTTGGCAATTCGCTAAATCTAAATCTTAAGCTACATCTAATCAAATCAAAACTTTTTTTTCTATTTTGACAAGCCCTGCCCAGCAATACACATATGGATGTCATCATCGTATGCTGAAAGTCTGATACAGAAAGTCCATCCACAAGAGAATTTACTGAAGCTCTCATAATGTAGTGTATGCAGAACTATGGGAATATCAAATGAAATTAAAATTGATATTTAATAAATATTGAGCTATTTATTATTAAAGGCCGATAAGGTATGATAAGGTGGCAGCTGGGGGAGCCATAATGCGATTAACATCGACAGTGTAAAGCACCTTGCACGAAATTTAGATAAGAACTTGCTTAGATATAATCATTTCGCTCTTGAGCTTCCGCTGGTAATGCTGGTAAATGGTTAATTTTCGTGGAATATTTGGGATTGGGATATCGAGAGCTTATCGGCGAGCTTCGGACACACACCTGGTAGACGGTATTGAGGTATGCATCGGCAGCGATCTGTCGATGAGTGGGTTAGCAGCTGCTTGCGATAAGTGCAAATCGCTATAAAATGATTTGGCTTTCAGCTGAAACGTCGTTAGCTGTCGATTTCTCAAGTGAACACCTGTTCGACCCATTGCCGATAAGCCAGCGACAGTGGCCAGAGTCTTAAAGCTATTGAAACACTTGCCCATCATAAAAACTATAAAGCGCCCAGAGGCAGCTCGACAAGGTAACAAAAGGCCGTCTAAACATGAATAAAAAAAAATGTAAAAAAAAAAAATAAAAAAAAAAAAATTGAACAGATAAAAACTAAACCAAGTGACTCACACAACAAACACCAAATGGAAGCATTTAATGCCTGAACCTCGTCTATTGATCTATTGCATAGCATATAGAAGTACCCAAGCTGTCTGACTGCCTGACTGGGAGCCAAATGCTCCATTGTGGCTGCCCATTGTAATTGGCAGTTGAGCAACGACTTTATGATACATTCGCAGAATGAATGGAAGTTCCCATCTATGATTTATTTATTTGCCCATATCAACTAAATATAGTATATATAAATAGCATAAATTACGCGCAAATCGACACAAATCAAGCACAAATTGTGCTGGCTTCCCGTCTAATGAAAGCCTCTTCGAATTGGCGATTCTTCTGATTCACGTATTTTAAATGATTCCCTTCTATGCGATTCTCACGAGTTCAAGTGGGACTCACATCTCTAATCATCTTACATCCCTAGCTCAATTTTGGTAATTTCTCTTTTCGTCCTCCTCCACCTCGCATTTTCATATCTCTCCCTCCCTCCCACCCTCTCTCTCTCTCTCTCTCTCTCTCTCATGTCATATTATATTTTTCTATCTCTCTATCCTGATTTCTTTCTCTCTTTCCTCAAGACTTTATGGCTATATGCCTCTAACTCTCTCTCTCTCTTTCTCTCTCTCACTCGCTCTATCTCTCTCTCTCTCTCTCTGCCCCATTACACCTCTATCTACCCCTTTACTTCCATCTCAGCCACTATCTGTTTTCCTCGCTCTCTCTCTCTCTCTCGCTCGCTTTCACTTCTCCGTCTTTCTTTGTTTCTCTCTCTCTATCAAAAACCCTCCTCTATTTCTATTTCCATTTCTATTTCTAGTTCTATTTCTATTTCTATTTCTATTTCTATTTCTATTTCTATTTCTAGTTCTATTTCTCTCTATCTCTATCTCTATCTCTATCTCTATCTCTATCTCTATCTCTATCTCTATCTCTATCTCTATCTCTATCTCTATCTCTATCTCTATCTCTATGTCTATCGCTATCTCTACCTCTACCTCTACCTCTATCTCTATCTCTCTCTATTTCTTTCACTATCTCTCTCTTTCTATCTGTCTTCCTTCTCGCTCTCTCCCTCGCACTCTTTTCCCCTCTCTTTCTTCATCCTTTCCCTTTTTTATTTGTTCACATATTATTCTTTCGATCTCATCTCATTTTTTCGATCGCACTTTTTTTTCTGTTTCTTCTTCTTTCCCTTTCTCGATCTCCGCCACTACTCGATTCATTCATGTTTTCTTTTTCTCACTTAACATTTATCTCCATCTAAACAGAGCTTCGTCACTTCTCTTTCTCCCTTCTTCTCTCCCCCCATCATCTACTATATATTTATTTGAAATCCATTTCAATATTTGCTAAGGGTTCAACAATAAAATTAAATATTTATGCATGATTATTTTTAATCCCATCCAATTCTCGCAATTACCATAATTGGCATTGTTGCTAATCCAATAAAAATAGTGTATATATCTATATATATTTATATATGTATGTATATGGGCCCCACACAATAGCTGTGGAACTGGAATCGATTGGCAACGGAATGGTTTATCTGCCGCTGGGCAGATAAGCCGCGGCTAGTTGTTAATGGAGCTCGGTGTTCGGGGCTAATCGCCAAATCGGTCCCCAAAATCTTATCAACGGCACGCCGAGAGCACTTTAGTCTGATAATGGTAATGCCCACACACACGCTGGCTTCWATTTCAATTTCAATTTCAATTGATTAAACAGTTGTTAACGAGCTAACGAGCTGGTCGGCTGGAGCGCTTCAAGTGGCTCCTGGTCAACTGTGTGTGGCGAATCAAATTATTAAGCCTTTACGCTTTTCGCATTGTTTGGGCTCTTTTCTCTTCAATCTTTTTTTTTTCTGTTCTGTGTGTGTGTTGTGTGTTTGCTGAAATGGAAATGAAATTTCAGTTGGTTGCCCTGCTATTGTTGAGGGCTGTGCAGCAAATGGTGGCAGAGCCCCATTGCATTTGGTATGGCGAAAGCCATAGGATTGGAGAGCACTGGCTGAACAAGGAGTACCATGGACCGGCACTGCCGCTGAATGATCCAGAGGCTGAGGCCATCTTCGCCAGGCGCTGTCCCGTCCTCTATGCGGAATACAAGGGGCCCAATGGCGATAACGAGCTGGAGCTCTGCTGCGATGGCAATCAACTGTTGAGCATGGACGCGGGCTTGAATCAAGCGGACGGTGTGTTCAGCCGCTGTCCCACATGCACGCTGAACATGGCCCAAACCGTCTGCTTGATGACCTGCGCCAAAAATCATTCGCTCTTCCTGACGCCCTACATCGAAACGAATTCCGATAATGTGGACTTTGTGGAGCACATCGACTATTACATAGACGACGAGTCCGTGCAGAAGATCTACAACAGCTGCAGCGGCATCCAGCATCCGCAGACCGGCCGGCCGGCCATGGATCTCGGCTGCGGTGCTTACAATGCCAAAACGTGCAACTATCGCCGTTGGTATTTCTTCATGGGCGATGGCGACAACAACGACTATGTGCCGTTCGTCATCAACTATACGTGGAGTGAGGATGCTGCGCCGGGCTCTACGGATGTCTATTTGAGCGTATTTCCACTGGAGTGCGGCGAGAGCTATGAGGGCAACTATGCCTGCGCCTGCATCGATTGCGAAGACTCCTGTCCGCTCACCGATCCGCCGGCTGGCTACGAGGATCCCTGGCAGATAGCCGGACTGTACGGCATTACCTTCATAGTTGCCCTGGTGATCGCCCTGCTGATCGCTTGCCTCATTTGCTATGGCGCCATCAGCGACCGTCCGGGTCCCAACATCCGCATGCCGACAGTGTACGGGGAATTTCTGTATCAGGGCTGCCGCATCTGGGGCACCTTCTGTGCCAAGCATCCGGTGCTCGTGCTGGCCATCTGCTCCTGGGTGATTGGGGGGCTGGCCTATGGCATACGCTACATGAACGTGACCACCGATCCCGTCGAGCTCTGGGCCAGTGAGGAGAGCAACACGCGCATCGAGAAGAACTATTTCGATCAGCACTTCGGACCCTTCTATCGCACCAATCAGCTGTTCGTG